GTATAGGTTGTTATGGTTTTGGGTCTTCGGGTGGCATAGGGGGGTGGGCATGGTTAGAAAATGGAAATGGTCATTGCTAACTGATTCAGGCTTAGGGGGCTGATTCCGCGCTCATGGCAGAAACTGCGCATGCAGAATGAGCAGATTAAACATTGAGAGCCTCTTGGTCGCAAAGATCACCTAACAGCTCAGGGTTAAATTAAGATTATACAGTGAAATATGGGGATACTACCCCTATAATGGAGAATCAAATGGAAAAGCACATGGAGAATGAAATGGAAACTTGGGTTTACATAGGCGTACTATCTTGCAAAGTCCGTCAGGCTCCATTGAAAAACCCTTGTGCAGACGTGCCTCTGTAGATGACGTAGATCACCCTCGCATCCTTGGCGTTCGAAGGCTCCGGGACCTCTGGAAACCTGGAGCCTGGATTCAATGGGTATTTCTCAAGGCTCGCCCCCAGCAAATCCCAAAAGATTATAAGGTTCCAAGTATGGGTGTCCCCCAAAGGAGCGCGTAAGTTCAAGTAACTCCCAAGACTCTCCAGAAATCTCCACCTCCAAGTGCTCCAAGGTCTTCCTTGCAACCTAGCTGAGGCTCAGACTCGCTCCCCTTGCTTCAAGAAGATGAAGTCCTTTGCGTTAGAAGGGTCTGGGGATTGCATAGTTATGGAGGTTTTTTTTCACAGTCCTTCGGACTTTTCGTCTGCCTGGCTCGGCAAAGGGTTCTTACCCGAAACTTCTAAAATCGAGATGTCACCACAATCTGGTTTACGGTACATTGCATGTGTGGTGCAACCCTGATGCAAAACGCTCATCGCCAGACCTGTTCAGATGCACTTGCGGAAGCCATCATGCCCTGGTGCTCGGTTCCCTCTGCTTCAACACGACCCTGATTTTCATCTTCACCCTCATGCTGCGTCAAGGTAGTAGTTGAGGTGGTGCCTGGAGCCTCACACGCTTGACCCTGCCCTTGCCTTTGCACAAATGAACTCATGCTGACGGCGTCCGTAGATTTGATGAAGTTTGGGGTCTAGGGTTTTGTGGCGGAAGGGCTTTACGGGATGATCTTCAGAGATGGATTCGGGGGACTTTGGGGCTCGGGGGTGAAGGCTTGATTACGAACGCCTCAACCACTAAGACCCCCCTTTAACTGCATGTCGCGGACCCCTCAATGCCAAACTCCTGAGACCTTTTGCGTAGACACCACCCTATAGTAACTAGTACCCTATAACTCAACCTCCAAAAGCCGTAAGTACTCCCGGTCCTGGTCCACCTTCAGCTTGTTGAAGAAGAAGCTGGGATGAGGCGGATCATTTGGACCTTCCGCCAAACATCAAACCCAAAACGCTCTAGGAAGTTTAGGGTTTAGGGGGCGCGGTTCCATGAGGGTGTTCAGCCGCCCCTCAAGAAAAGAAGTAGCAGGAGGCCATGTAAAAACTCCTGCCCCCGCTAAGGGCAGCAATGATGATGTAGGTGGCGAATACTATGCAGATTCTCGGCAGGTGGTAGATTCACTCAGGGGCGGTCTTGGGCTGGAAGATGCTTGAACAGTTTGTGATCACGTGCTGAGGCATCATCTTGTCCCCTTGCTCACATTGGTGCAGTTGGCGAATTGTGTCCCTGGCCCCCAAGCCGTAAACGCATCCCTCAGACAGCCCTGCAAATGGAGAAGTCCCGTGAGGCTCATCTCTCAGACTCCTACACGGCGCGGTCCATGAGTCATGATCAGGGCTACGCACGCATGTATACCAACCGAGAAAGCTATTCCATTTCCAATTCCGTAATCTCCTAGCTGCAGGCTTTACAGTCCCACTGTGCAAAGGTAGCACTGATTTGAACCCCCCCCAGATTTGCTGAACAAATTTACTACTCACCCGTTGGCCTGGTTCAGGAATGTCCTGGCAAGCCAAGCACAGATAAACCCTCTGTGGTACTTTTGTGGTCTTTGGCATTGCCTACCCGAGCCGACGTCAGGCTGGGGCGGCCAATAAGGAGTTGCCACTGTAGGTTCCTACACTCTGTTCGCCGTTGCGGCCTGGATGTCCTACCTCCTGTGGGATATACCCTACAACAATGTGGGACAAATTCTCAATAAGGAAGGACATCCATGGTCCAGGTAGATGGTTCTATAAAAAATGCGGGGCTTGCAAAAATGGAGGTGTTTTTGGTGATGTTCGGGAGTTCTAGGGAAGTTGCAGCGGCCCAACTGCCACATGCGCATCTAAACTGAACTGAGAAGAGCCTTCTTCTGACATGAACTGAAACTCCGCACATCTGAACGCGATGCAGCCTGAAGCGATGTTACAAAGGCAAATCAACATCGCGTGGAGAAGTATAGGCCCAAACGCATCTTGCTGGATGAGTGAGCTGTACTTTGAGCTGCCTTTAAATGAGCCGCAGTATGCCGAAGTAATATGCATTCTAGTGAACTATATGATGACCACAACGTGTATTTGGATAGGATAATAATCTTTCTGGCCTCACGGCGCTCATCATGCACACTGGAGTCACTGGAGTCTAGGTTCATGTACACCCCGCAGCTGGTACTGGAGGTCTTTACGACAATGCAGTAGCAATGTAGTAATATATATAAAGACTAATATTGCAATATACTACTACGGTAGACTAATAATGTAATGTAGCCCATGCTAGGAGGTATGGGGCCAACCACGATCCACGACCAGACCGTTCAGGCTCACTGATTTGTACCCAGACACCTCCCTTGTGGCTTCACGCTTTAATACTTAGTAGGGAATACAGGAATTTAATCCCTATATCCCTATATAGTCCCCATTAGTATGATATATCTCCATATCCCTACTAAGAACCAGTAGGTAGAAGCAGGAGGTAGCTGAAAACCGGGGATTTACATATTTTCGTCAGGCCTCTTCTTGTCAAAAATTGGCTCCAGTCCACCCCCCAAGACCTAGACATAGGTATGACCTAAACCATGAAAATCTACATACATATATGTATATACACATATGGTCTATACATCTCTACATGTTTGCCAGAGAAATCCTGACTCCGCCTTCAGGCCCGGAACGAAGCGGTTCAGAAATCTCTTCTTTGCCTCGGGCGCCAGCGGCTTCAGTGGCTGCGGAAAATGGGGGAAATGGTATTAAGAATACACATGGTAATCACAGTAACGCTGGTAATAACGATCATGATAACAGTGATATTATGAGTAACACCAAAAACATAAGAGGAATAGTATTCGTAAAGCTGGACATCTGTACGAGAGTGGGGGGTAGGTGGAGGAGTACGTATGTAGAGGTGATGTAGGGAGAAGGAATACAGAAAGGGGATTCTCCCTGTCCGTCTTGAGGATCATGTGCAGCAAAGATCAGCTGGATCTCACCATCTGACTAAAATCTGTGGATTTGGTAGTTTCCCAGAATACAAACCCCTCATTTTGGGAACCCTCCATTTGGTGTTTTACGCCAATTTTCGTGTTTTGCGCCAATTAAAAGCGTGCCGCGACACACGTGGAGTACCGTTTCGCTGCTGCAGCAGCCAAGTCCGTGTGCCTCTGGCCGATTTACTGTCCGCTACCCTCATACCGCACACCATGAGCAGCATCTCGCATTTTCCAAACATTAAACCAAAGACCACACTGGAGCCGCCAAAGCCCCCTTGAAGCCTCACATGGCCCATCATTTCGCTTGAGTCGGGTGCAAAGGACCTGGAACAATCATCTAATGAACATTTAGGTTCGGCCAGGCCTAAACCTCAAGCCAAGGGCCCAAGTCCCAGAACCCAAGGCCTTGACCCCTAGACTAACAAAAATCCCCCATGACGAACCCCAACACCAAAGTGAAGGCCTCCTGAAGTTGAAGCAGCCGATCCTGAGCCGCGGCAAAATAAGCTTTGCATCTTGTTTTGGGGCTTAGGGTTTAAGTTTAGGGCTTAGGGGTTTAGGTTTTCGGGTCCGGGTTATCAGGATCTGGGTGTATATAGGGGGCTGGAGTTGCACGGTGCTGGGGATGCGTGGATGAAAGGATGTGAAAGGCGTCGATGGGGAGATAGGAGGAAGCAAGACTAAATCAATGCCAGATCAACTGCAACCCCAATTGGTGCTGAAGTGTCCCTTTTTCATTTCAAGGCACGAGCACAGCAAAGCGCAGAAAAAGACAGCGAAAGCTTGGAGCTCCATCCCAGCCACCACAAGTACTCCGACACCCGGCAGGCCTTGGCTATTTTGAAGGCGCTGGCTGGAAGGAGGAGGAATTCACCTGAGCATGGGAAACTGATAGACTCAGCCTTGTTGATAGGGCAGTAGGGTCAGAGGGGTTCGGGTGTGGGGGCAAGCTTCTGAATTTTGAGCTCAATCTCGTGGAGGCGCTGGAGCGAGTGCTCTGGATGCTCTGCAATTCTCACAAGGAACCCTGCCCGCGCAAACATTTTTCTCACATGCGCCACGCATGTCTCTGTAATGGAACATGCATCATACTTTGCAGTGTCCCACAGTGGTACGTGGGATCTTTTCGATAAGGAGGAGCTCCGCATCTTCCGGCCTCATTCCCTAAAAGCCTCAAAGCCTACACCTTGACTTCCAAAACTCTCTGCTGACGCAGGGAATCCTGTATCATTGTATACCATACACCCTAGAAACTGCACGATTTCTTCAATCCTGACCTCTGACAAGAGAGCCAGGTTACAGTTGGTCGCGCAGGTTGCGGCAGCCTTGGCCAAGGAGCTGTAGGCAGTTTGAGGAGTGTGGGTGTTGAGGGTGCGCCTGGCTCAGGACTCAGGGTTTATTGGTTTGATTTGTGTGCGCGCTTTGGTGTGAGAGCAAAGCGTACCTGGACTGCCCCACACTTCTTGATCCACGATCCAGAACTCTGCTACAACCTGTGTAGACAGCTGCAGAAATGGGGGGTCTCCGTGACTAAGGGCCTGCTCCACCATAGCCACCACCAATATTCTATATTCATTCCTAATGCAACTCAAAACGGCAAGCTCCACCCTCAGCCAAAAACTGCCGGCTGAGTCCCGGACTTTTCTGGTGGCGTCCTTGTGCATGAGAGCTAACCTGGATTAGCCCGTGGACTCTCTTTCCTACATCTCCTTGGACACGTCATAGAGCTTTTTTGGAAAGGTTCTTCAGGCTGTACAAGATCCGCCTTCGAAGCATACTCTCATCTTCTCCACACAGAATAATTTCTCGACAAGCCCTCATGTTGCATTGACTTCATCGGCCCCAAATCCTACACCAGACTGACCGTAACAAATCTGGACCCACCTTCCCTTGGAAATTGCAAACGCAGTACTTGAAGGACTAGCGATGTTTCAAACAGTGATTAATGACTGGAATTGTTCGAGCTCAGCAGCTCTCCAAACACCGCACCACTGCGGGCTTTGCCCACGCACTTGCCGAGGTCGCTGTGCAGGGACGCCGTGCTGGTGCCATCCAAGGTCCTGACCTGCTTGGGGAGACTTACGGCAAAGGGAGGGGATACAGGGCCTAGCAAATCTCACAGGTTATGACGAGGTCGAGGGTTGAAAATGAAAACGAAGGCAAGGGTTTACAGGATAGGAGGCAAACGGCGTGCTATACACTTGTAGGGTGTTGGAGAGCCTTCTGGCTATGGTGGGATGGCACCATAATTCAATACATTTGCAAGAGTTGATACGAAGTAGATGGAGTGAACTTTGCCAAGACACAGTCTCACGTCCTAGCGGGCTCAATCGAGGTCTTCAGTTTTGCGACAACAGATTACGTGCCGTCTTAGGGCTAGGGCGGAGGTTCAAGCTAAACTTCATCATGGCCCTTTCTACTCATTCCCTGAACCAAAAACTTGATCCTCAAACGCCAGGGTGGAAATCTGAGGCGAACGCTCGCGCCGACTCTTCCCAGGGTTGGGGAACTGTCCTGATCACTTCAGTCTTCTGAAGCACAGGCCCAATAATCCTGCATCTTACTGCCTCATGAGTCACGTGTCTGATCCATTCGAAAAAAGCTTGGGCGGGGCATGCAGCGTCGAGCTTTGAGATTCTCGTCACATAAATTTATCTGATGCTGATGTTCAATAACCGTGACCGTGATTATCTGCAAAAGGAGCACTAGGACAGTTCCAGGAGTTCAAGTCTGACGCGGAACTTCCCCGGCACAGAAATCATGAACCCTGCAAGAACAACCTTCCCCCAAAGCCACCTCCATTCAAGGCTTGCTTTCCCACATCCAAACCGATCTGTAACCCAAGCCTTCTTCTACACCCCACTAAAACCAACTAAGGAATGCCGCATCATCCCCAAACGCCTAAAGTCAACCAAGGCTCATGTTCTCAAACCCGGTGCTCACAGGCAGCCGGGGAGTGTCTTGGTTTCCTGCGCCTGGCTCTCTGGCTGAAGGGGTTGGGGGTGGCTGTATTCCACGCGTGCAGAGTTTCTTGTACGTTTTGAGGGCTTTCTGATCCCAGGCTTGAACCGATTTGCTTAGGGTGGACGTAGGGTCTAGAGATGGGTTGATAAGTGGAACCTCTAGCTCCCGGATTCAAAACGCAGATCTTCCTTGGCGAATGAAACCTTTTCTAGGCTTAGGCTTTCGGCCGCAAGCACAGTTCCAACACGGAAGCCCTAAACCGATGCCATCTGCGATGCCTGCATACCAAATAATGAGTTTTAGGCACGCAAGCCAACAGCCTAAACCAAAGAAGCATCTGTCATCTTCTGGAAGATCTGATCAATTTGAGGTCCTCATAATACTGGGCATCAAACGGAGGTTGTAGTCTGAGAGATATGCTACTCAGCTTTACAACTGCAAGCCAACCCTATCCAGCTCAGCGACCTGCCTATGAAGAAGGCCACCTGCAGGTGCATCACGAAGCGTGGTTGGGGATGCCCTTCTGGTGTTGTAGGAGTAGTTTCGCGCTTAGGTGATGGTCATGGGTCTAGGGCTCAAGGTTTTGTGAAAGATCTAGGGCCTGGCGATAAGGGGGTCTAGCTTCCCAAGTCCGCTCAACGGCTCCACGCTAGCATTGCCTGTTAATGGGCGTATGAGCAGGCAAAATCGCAAAAAGCACCACCACAGCACAACAAGGGTGCCGTTTTGAGAGCTAGCTGCAAGACTTCAGCACGCCAGACACGAATCAGGGTATTACAGAGCAAAACCTCATGGTTCTTGAGATCCCAAGCCACGGTCTGTCAAGGTGAAACGCAATCAAAACCAAAAAAAGGCCTAGATGCCAAAATCTAAACACCTTCGATTGCTGGAGAATGTCCTTCATGACCCCATACGCCTAAGCCCTGCGACGTATGGAACGATACAATCCTTAGGGCGGGCTTGCAATGGCATTCACTAATTTTCCAGCAATGCCATCTGCATCCAAGCATGACACACCAGGGCGAAGGAGCTCTGTTGCTGCAGAGAGGCAAAGTCATGAGGACGCTCACGCAGGAATTTGGACATGAACAGCTGTAGCAGCCCAAATGGCGGTGCTTCTATGTAGATGGCTCACCGCAAACAAATCCAAGTAATCCGTAGCACGCCAAAGTAGGGCAGAAAAAAAGAACATAA